GGCAGCCATCTTGGTTGGGTTAATTTGCATATAGTCGCTCTGATTGGCTGGTGGGCGTGGCTTAAGGCATAGCGAAGGTGTGGTCAATTTGCATGTTTGTCTTTTATTAGTGTAGATTATTAGGTACACAAATAATTAATGTCACTAAATGATTACTAATCTGAAATAATCAGACGTCTAATATAATATTTAGTAAGTTAGAAATATTAAAATGAAAATATTCATTTTAGTTGTAATTCATCTTCAATTTTATTATTTCTTTTAGCTGCTTTATATAGATTTGCATTATTCCAAAAATTTTTTCTCTCAATATGGTGTCCCCCATAAAATGTATGCACACTTTAAGAGTTGATAGCTCAATTTTGAAAATGAAATGTATTTTAATAAACACTGCCTTCAGAATTATTCAAAGTGTGTGTGTATATATTTTTGGGAAGATTATTACTTTAACTGACTTACCCTTTTCAATATGATTTTTACTACTATTCAGTTACACTTGTTCATTTCATCTATTGCATGCCAGTGTGTGCTAGGTATTACAGAAGATACAAAAAATGAGAAAAGATATTAAAGAGGATACAAAAATGAGCAAAGATGTTATACAGGATACAAAGATGATATTAAACAATTACACTCTCCTAAAAGACAGAAGTGATATAAAAATCTGCACTAGTGAAGAAGACATCAAAAGGTACCAAAATAATTGTGCAGATTCAGAATTCTTGTGCATTATGGATTCTGAGTCAGGACATCTTGGAAAGTTTTTCTAAAGAAGGCAGACTCTAAAGCAGCGGTTCTCAACCTGTGGGTCGTGACCCCTTTGGGGGTCGAACGACCCTTTCACAGGGGTCGCCTAAGACCATCGGAAAACACATATATAATTACATATTGTTTTTGTGATAAATCACTATGCTTTAATTATGTTCAATTTGTGACAATGAAATTGGGGGTCACCACAACATGAGGAATTATATTAAAGGGTCGCGGCATTGGGAAGGTTGAGAACCACTGCTAAAGTAAGTCTTACAAAGAAGAATAAAGTTTTGACAATCAGAAAAGAAGGTGGGAACCTGCTGAGTCAGTTCCAAGTTCTTTCCAAAGGTCGAAGAAAAAGAGAATAAACACTTCGGGAATCTGAAGTAATGTTTCAGATTATTAGTTTCCCTAGGAAACTAATATTAAGAAACAAGACTGACTTTGAAAGGCACTAGGGAGCCAGACTAAGTCTCCATGCTTACTTCTATAAGCAACAGGGATCCAAGAAAGGTTCTGAACAAGAGAATGACACGAGTGAAGTGCGATTTAGAAAGAAAATAGCTGGTATTGAATGGATTGGCACAAAGAAATACTAGCGGCATTAAGACTTACATAAAGGCTATTGTAGCAATCTAGGGATTAGAAATTTAGAACGCAAACTAGAAAAACAGCAGCTGGAATAGGCAGGAGAGGGAAGATTCAAGAGGAAATTACAAAATGTAAACCTCAAAACTTGAAATTAAGTTGAGAGAGAAAGTAATTGTGAGGAAATAAAAGATAATTGATATTTTAAGCCTGGGTGAATAATAAACATTGTTAACAAAAATAAGGGTTTAAGGAGGATCTACTTATGAGGGAAGATAGTATTAGGCAGACATGAGTAGAGCAAGGATGATGGGCCAGATACAGAAACTCACCAGGGCAGAAAGCCCGGATGCCTAGCAAGGGGCAAAACTGGGAAAACAAGAACCTTGTCCCCAGGGTAACCTATACTCCCTTAGCATATCACCAGGTATGCAGTTTAGAACCCCTGACCTTTTCCTCCCTAAAGATAACATCTAGGCCTCAGTTGTATTTCATCTCCAGGTCCAGAAAAGCAGCAAACAAGACAAGTGGTGCTGCCATGGCTGCCCCTGGACTGGTTACATTGACTAATGATCCCCTGCCCTGGCACCGACCAATCAGTGGAGACCACAACCCAGAAAGAGCACACCTGGAAAACTGATGAATATTCTATGGAGATACTCCCCTGAGACCTCCCCTAAGATTTCCACCTGCAAGAGAGAGAGATAAATTGGCTCAAGACAAAGGACCCAGCATGTACTCTCCCTCCCAGGAGAATGCCCTTACCGTTCCCCTTCCCCTTCCTTTCCCCCTCAGGAACATATTCCCTAACCTCTAAGGGATCCCATGAGACTTGAAACCAGGAGAGCAATGGGCAGAGGCAACTCATCCAGGGTTAACCCCCTGAACCTGTGTCCAAGGCCCCCTCCCTCTGACTTCTCAGTGAGCCAAAGCAGACCAGCCTAGGCTTTCCTGTTGCTTCTTCTATGCCCTTCCTTGTTTCACTGTCCTAGGTATATTTTTGCTGCCATCATGGAACCAATACCCTTTTGACTCAGTGCTATGTAGTCCTTCCCTTTGGCTATCCCCATCCCCTATTCCCCTTTCCTGAAATAAATTCAATTTTTCTTTATTCACCATCTGAGATAGCTATTTAGCCTGCCCACGTATCACCAACTTTAATCTTTCAGATAGGATTAGCTAGAAAAAAATGGAGACAAAGATATACTAAATCATGTCCTTCTACCATGTGAGGATGCAGCAAGAAGATGGCAGTCAGCAGATACCAAATCTGCCAGTGTTTTGATCTTGAACTTTCCAGCCTTCAGAACTGTGAGAAATAAATATTTGTTGTTTCAGCCACCCAATCTATAGTATTTTTTAAAATCCTCACAGAAGGACATGCTTAAAGAGAGGAAGGGAGACAGAAAGAGATAAACACTGATGTGAGAGAGAACGTTGATCGGTTGCCTTCCTCACGCACCCGAACTGAGGATCAAACCACAGCCCAGGTATATGCCCTTATCAGGAATTGAACCGGTAACCTTTTGGTGCACAGGATGATGCTCAACCAACTGAGCCACTCCACCAGACAGTGCTATGTTTGTTATAGTGGCCTGCAGAAACTACTGTAATGCCCCTCTGTCTTTGTCATACCTGCACAAGCTCAAGGTTATAAATGACCCACTCATAGTGGGAAACCAAAACCTGGCCATAGAACAATGGAAAACTGGCAGGTGGCCTTAAGAAAGAAGATATACTAAATCATGAACCAAAAACTAAAAATATCACGCTCATATATGCAAAAGAAGCATTTTCTTTGAAAAGCAGAGAAGGCTTCTTTGAGTACTTGCACTAAACATGTTAGTTGTTTAATCCTTTTATCAATATGCTGAAAACATTAAATCTAATTCCATCATACCATTATTCTATTTTAGTGTTTACAGTCAAATATTATAGATATATATCGTATATATAGTCAAATTCTATGATATATATATATATTCATATATATATGAATTCCATCATACCATTATTCTATTTTAGTGTTTACAGTCAAATATTATAGATATATATCATATATATAGTCAAATTCTATGATATATATATATTCATATATATATAGTATAGTTAAATAAATGAAACCTACCTTGCTGAGCTGTAGATCATATTTGTTTGAAAAACCACTATAAAAAAGGTTTTGTCAAAATTAAGAAAGCAATTAAATATTAGTAGAATGTTTTCCATAAAAGACATTCTATATAAGGTAGAACATATTTGGGTCACTAAGTCCACATCCATATGTTATCTAAATCACTGTGATGTGATAGCACTAGTACCCTATTTTTGCACCTTCACTCACAGTATATAGCAACAATAATATTTAATTCTAAGCTGAATCATTTATGTAGCAGGAGGTGCCAAGCAATTTAAATTGAATGTTCTGCCATGAAAATAATAATTTTCATTCCTTACAATAAGAGTGGAATGAATTTAAATGTGAATTAACCAACTGGCAGCCTATAAAAATACATTTTGTAATAAGAAAAGAACTAACCTTCAGAAAGATTATAAACAAAGAATACATATTTACTATATAAAAGTAACTCATTTCAGCTTATTTAAATTTCATTTTTGTTTTTCTATTTTTAATTTAAGTTCTTTATTGTTTAATGTGTTACATAAATCTCCTTTTTCCACCATTGACCTCTCCCCGGCCTTCCCCAACCCCCAGCACATGCCCTCACCTCCCCTCCCCATCTGTGTCCATCGATTATGCTCATATGCATGCATATAAGTCCTTTGGTTGATCTCTTACTTAAGCAATATATTTAAATATGCTTCATTTTACTCATCACTAGACTCAATGAAAAATTTCTATAATGTCTATATCTTAAAGATTTCTAAAATGATATGCTGCATCAATTTGGTATTTTTGATATTTTATAAAATGTAATCAGATACTACAATGTCAATTTCAAATTTAGTTCTAATTTAAACACCTACAATTTTTAAAAGTAAATAAGTTACTATGTGTTCTCTCCTAGAAAGTTACATTATTTTAACTTGTTGAAAACTAACCTTAAAACAGTGTAAAACAATTTAGTTGTATCTGTCAGAAAGATATTCATGTCTAAAACTTAGGAACATACCTGTTAATGAAAGACTCCTTTAATTTTCTTGCAGACCGTATACCATCATTTGGTTTGTATCTCTTATTAATTTGGCTTATCAAGGATTCTGCTGCATCAGCAAGTGTTTTCCCTTTTGACTTTTCTCTCTGAAACAATTCATAAGTTACTTAAAAACTCTGTAAGTTAACCTTCAAATGAAAATAAAGGCTGAAAAAAATTAAGAAAAATCTGGCTCTATGTATAGCCACAAAGAGAAATAAAGGGAGCCAGAGGTGACTTGGTAGCTTGGGCTTTGTTGAGCATGAGAACAAGCCAGGGTCAGTCCTTTCCCATATAGAAAGAACTGTGGAGAGTGCTCTGTAGATATTGCTTTTTAAAAGTTTCTATCCATAGAAAAACAAAAACTCATATAAAAAACTAAAGGAAACTAAAAACTGGTTCTTTGTCAAGATCAATAAAGTTGACAAGCCTCTAGTAAGGTTAAGAAAAAAAGAAAGATGTAAAAGACAGATATTACTAATACCAAAAGAGGCTATCACTACTGATTACATGGACATTAAAAGAATAATAAAGAAATACTATAGACAACTCTATGCCCACAAATTTGATAACCTAGATTAAATGGACCATTTCCTTGAAATTCTATAAAAACTCATAGAAGAATTACCTGACTAGGCCTGTATCTATTAAATCAATAGTTAATACCTTCCAAAAAAGAAAGCACCAGGCCCAGGTGGGTTTATTGGTGAGTTCTATAAAACATTTAAGAAGTATAACAATTTTCTACAATCTTCCAGAAGACAGAAGCATAGGGAATACTTCCTAACTCATTTTATGAAGATACTAGAGGCCCAGTGCATGAAAATTCATGCACCAGAGGGGGTATCCCTCAGCCCGGTCTGCCCCCTCAGGGGCGGGAGGCGACCCAGCGATCAGGGGAAGGCGAGGCCCCATCACACTTCTGCTGCTGCCACTGCCGGCAGCGCAAGCCTCGGCTGGTTCTGGTTACCTGAGCTTTGGGCATCCCTGGGTTTCTGGGGGGCTGAGGGGACTGAGGGGCTCTGGAGGCAGGCCCGCGAGGTGGGCCCAGCCTTGCTGCACGCCTGCCACCCCGGTGGGGCTGAGGGGAGTGGGTGCCTCCATCTTTGAGGGCGGGGTAGTGAATTAGCATATTCCCTCCTTATTGGCTGTGGGCGCCACCATCTTTACGATGGTGTGAAGGTCAAATAGCACATTCCCTCTATATTAGATAGGATTATCAGCTCATGAACATAGATGCAAAAATCCTGAATAAAATATTAGCAATCAAATCCAAAAATGTATAAAAAGAATTGTCTACCATAGCCAAGTGGAATTTATTTCAGGTAAGCAAGGCTGATTCAACTTTTGAAAATGAATTAATGAAATCCATCATATTAATAGGCTAAAGAAGAAAATCATGATCACATCAATAGATGCACAAAAAACATTTGACTAAATCCAATATCAATTCATAACTCTTAGAAAACGAGGAATACAGGGGAACATCTTCTACTTCATAAAGTTCAGCTATAAAAAGAAAATACAGCAAACATCATACTTGATGGAAACTAGATGTTTTTCCACTAAGATCAGAAATAAGAAAAGGATGTCTGCTCTCACACTCCTATCAACATCAGACTGGAAGTCCTAGCTAAGGCAATAGACAAGCAAAGAATATACACAGTAAAAAGATAGGGAAGGAAGAAATAAAACTGTTTTTGTCTATGTAGAAAAATCTCAATCAACAAAAATATTTCTGGAACTAAAAAGCAATTATAGAAATGGTGAAAGGATATAAAAGTAATAATAAAAGCTAATCGCTTTCTTATACATCAGTAACTAACAATTGAAATATGAAATTATATTCCATTTACATTACCACCCCCCAAAATGGAATCAAGAATAAATATGACAAACATATACACAAGATTCATGTGAGGAAAACTACATGACTCTGATGAAAAATAAAAAACCATCAAAATAAATGGAAAGGCTCAATATTGTCAAGAGGTCAGTTCTTTCCAATTTGATTTATAGATTCAATGTAATCCCAATCAAAATCTCAGAATGTTATTTTTTTGTTATCAACAATATGATTCTCAAGTTTACATGGAGAAGCAAGAGATCCAGAATAGCCAACACAATGCTGAAGGAGAAGAACAAAGTTGGAGAACTGACAGTACCCTATTTTTAAGGCATAATGATAGAGTTATCAGTATAGTGTAGTATTGGTGAAAGAATAAACAAATAGAATGAAAGAAAACAGAGAGCCCAGATATAGGTCTCAAAGTATGGTACAAAATACCTAAAATTGTCCTAGAGATGTTCTACAGATGATTCATCTGAAGAAAGTGGGGCAGCCAATGGGGATGAGCAATGGTTATAGAAGAAGATAGTACCTTCCACCCCACTTACATCCTTTCTTGAAAAACCTTGTAAAACTTTAATGCAATAATGCAAGAAATACTTCAGATGCTACTATGTGCAAAGTATAAATGTTGAATGAAAGTCTTTATACTTACAGTTTAAAGTGAAAAAAATCACAAAACACAACCATTTATTAAGAAGAAAGGTAAGCACCATTTGAGAGGCAAAGGCACACAGTTCTATATGCACGTTCAAAAGAATCTAAGGGACAGAGTGGGAGACCCAATAAGAGGAAACAAGGCAGAAACTAATATTAATATCAAATGTCAACTGTAATTGAAAAGTAAAAGTATATACTAATAAAATGAATTTATCCTGTAAACTTTAAAAATGTATTATAGAAATTGTAATATAACTAGAAAATGAAAAATTACATATGTGGCTCACACACACACAAAAAGGAGCCAAAACAGGGTTCATTCATGCAATTCCTATGTACATGCCTATGGCACCCACAGGCATGTGATTTATCAGAGCCAGGATTAGGGAGAGATGCAGGAATTCAAGATGCACTTGCTTTGAGTTTGTATTAAACAACAAGGTATTTACAAATGTTAAATTTACAGTAATCAAACAAGCTTCTTTCTCTTTCTTATGTTATTAAGTAGGTATGTTATGGGTATGCAGAAATAAAACACACTGAAAGCTCACCATTTTTTTTTGTTTCAAATCCAAGGAATTAAGTTCAGATGTTAATCTTTTTCTTGATTTCCTAAGACTCTTTGCATTTTTACTAGGAGAGGGGCTTTTATCACAAATAGCAGTATTCACATCTTTTGACAATATGTATTTCTTCCTATAGATGAGAGATTCTTCAACTGTTTTATTTAGGAGAACTGATTTAAAAGTAGTTTCAGATTCAATATGCCAATCACTCTGCTTGGTATTTTCAATATTTTTCTGCTTTGAACATTGATTTAGTTGTTGATTGGTTCTTCTGCAAACATCTACTTCTCCTTTATCTATTTTGTTACGCTGCGTTACTTCTTTTTTATATTCCACCTTTCCTGTTTCTTCAGAATTATCATCAGATACTGAAGAGGATGATTTTTGTTTAGTAAAATTTTTGTTGATAGCAATATCTAGTGGGAAAAAGAGAAATTAATCCTTATCTATCTATATAAAACCCTAATGTGCAAATCGAACCAATGGCAGAACAACCGGTGGAATGACTGGTCGCTATGACACGCACTGACCACGAGGAGGCAGATGCTCACTGCAGGAGCTGCCCCCAATCCGCAGGCCCTGAC